ACACCATTTTTTATTAATAAAAGTTCTCCGACCACCATTGTCGTCTTCGGAGTGGAGTAGGTCACTCTGACTAAACTACTATACATCTTTGTGTTACCTGTGTTAACTCGATCTTTGTCTTCTTTTTTAATTGCTTTATTAATTGTTTTATTAATTATTCTGCATTATACACTCGACTGTTGATTGTGTGTAAGCCTATTTTATACATCATCAATATTCATGTAAGAAAATAACCAATATGGATAAAGAAATGGGATTAAGTTTGTCTAACAACATATTGCCACTGCTTGGATTAATCTTTGGGACCATCGGTGACAATATTGACTTGAACTCTCTCTCTCTCTAAGGTGGAAAAGACATACTATGACTCTAGAAATTATTTTAATTGCATGTGAACAAACGTACGTGCACAATGCAAATTTGTCACTACACCTAATAGAGTGAGCATAAAGCGACTTTACATTGAGAATATTGAAGAATCACTTCCCATGAGAGAAAAAAACAAAAATGCAAAGGACTCACAATACAGGACTAGCTAGAAAGTGATATTTCGAGAGAAATATTCCACCAAATCATTATGAATTAAAATTAGTTTTCCTATTCACTTAAATACTTTATAAGCATGCATTGATTAATTTGGGTAGGACTAATTCCATTGTTTCCCCTATTAATGAAGGATCAAAAGAATTATCCTTTATAATTGATTTTGTAGGGTACTTTTGTCCGGTGTCCACAAATATCCAAATTGAGAGGAAATGTTAGACTTTTTTGAGGCATTTATTTCATAAACGAGTGGACGCGATACTACACGATTAATAAACGAATTGGGTATAGGTGAACTCAATTAAAATAAATACACGACACGATTCGTTTATATAGTTGTTATACACAATCCATAAACAATACGAACTCGATAAAACACGATTCGTTAAAAACAAATTAATAAATGAATCAAGTATAAGTAGAGTACTTGTTCACACGAGCACATAAATACCCGATACGAACCCGTTTTACCTGACATGTTTGACATGCTGATAGATAGTTACAGCTTTACATCCCTCTAATATGCTTTTTTTTCTCTGTTTTTTTATTCTTCTCAAATCATCAATGATTAAAAATAAAGGGACTCACTTATATATAAAATGAGGATCAATTGATTTTATGGATCCACAAAGAAAGTAAATGTATGAAAAATATACAAATTATTGTAAAACAAGTAAATTTATGTAAGTGCAAATAATTAACTTAAACAAATTAAAAGATAAAAAAGTAATACTGAAAGTGAGAGAGGAATAAAAATATATATTTTATCTGGTGTATCTTTAATTCAAAGGTACAAGGCCTATTTAGAGGCAAAATACATTGCCCTCTTGCATTATCAGTGGAAAGATGGAGAATTCTCGTACCTGTTAAATGTGATAACTATTTGTTTATTGTATGATCGTGTCTAAATATTATTTGCTACTATTATGTATAATAGTTATCTAAATTAATAGTATTTACAACGATAGGGATAGAGTGTTTTGGGAGGTGACAAGGGTCAAAAGGCCATTGTTTTGCTAATGACAGAAATGTTAATGAACGAAGTATTTATTTCCTATAAAAATTAATCTGATTTCGAAAATTTGGGAGTTCAAAATTTTCCAACCTAATTAAGAAATTCAAATTTAATACGAGCTTGAAATTTTTAATATAAAAAAAACTCAAATTGAAGATTTCAAATCAAACCCGAATTTGAATTGGATTCAATTTGATGTCTTGTACCTATGGTTGTGTCTAGACTTGTCAACGGATTGGATTCAAACTGAATCTAGGCCTATTTGAATCTGACTTCGATTAAAAAATTTGTTATCGAATCCGATTATTTTATCTAATGGATAGAAAAATATTAGTCCATATCCGAATTCGTTGATACTTTATCACATGTCGTCAATTTTTTATGGAGCAATACTATTAAGACCTAATTCACTATGACTTTCGAATTAACTGTAGATTCCATCAAAATATTAGAATTTGATGTTAATCCAAATGTGTCACATTATTATATCAGTAAATTAGGTCAAATTTTTACATCTAAATAGGATTACTCTTTTTTTTATCCCAATAATATTCCTTTTTAATGATTTATCCCAATTGATTAAATAATAATAGTAAAATTAAAAAAATTATGTGGGCCCACGGGCCACAAGTTTCGAGAACCTGCTTAACGTGTTTGGTTTGTTCCCAAAAATGGAAATTGCTAAGAGGGGGGATTTTATGAGTGAGCAATTGTGCTGGCCCACCATACGTCATTTTTAACCGAACAAATAACAATATTACGTATAGCGACTTAAAATAATAAAAGGAAAAGTGATAGCATTTATTTCAATTTGTCTACTTAAATTTTATTATTTTTTTTATTTTTTTAACGGGTGAATTAGAAAGAATGAACTGATTGTTATGATTTATATAATTTAATAACTAAATTTAGGTAATTAAAAATTAAAGGGACAAATTAAAACTCAAATCAAAATCTAGAGACATCTATCATATTTATCCTATTTTTTTCTTAGTTTTGCAAAATTTTGATTCGTTATTGACAAATAAAATTATTTTCTTCTTATTATAATTCACATTTTTTAAATCTCATATAAGTGAAAAGAAATTGAAGTATATGAGCATGGTGTGATAATTTTTAAATTTTTTTTTATTTTTAAATTACCTTTTGAAATATCATTTATTATTTTTCTTTTTCGGACTTACTATCTTCTTGTGATCTTTACTCATCCTATTGTGATAGATATCACTTGTACATTAAGATACATGCAAATCATGTTTATTTTTTGGTCATCTAAATAATGTTTAAGAAATAAGAATTAAAAATATTTTTACCATTTTATTTAGGAAAATTTCTTCTACATCCCTATGTAGTTAGGTCTAAATTCAATGACTTCCCCTTCCGATTCTGAAATTTTACTGACACCCTCTGTCAGTTGTTATCTGCTTATGACCTTAGTATTTTATAGGATAAATTTCATTCATACTCCTGATAAATAGATCTAACTTCAACGACACTCTTTCTCGGTTCTAAAATTTTATTGCACACCCTTTTAGTTTTATTATATTAACCTTCAAAATCATCAATTTAATATTTATTTTTCTAAAATTAATATCTTTTCTTGAATTTTAACTAAATTAACATTTGATCTCATCAAATAAATATTCAATTTAATCAAATTAATATTGTTTCTTTAATTTAACAATAAATTATTGTTGATAATAGCTCTTCTGGAGCCTTCAATCAGGTATACAAAATTCGATATTGTATCTACATTAGCTTTCACTAATGTTAAGTTAGAGAAAAATCTTTTATGTCAAAGGATTGTTTTGGTTGTGCCAATGTCTGTTAGACATGCATCTTCACCATTCATTTCAGAATTGAATAGTTGGTAAATAAGGTTCATTCATCTTAACAAAGTCACAATAAGCTTAAATTGACATAAAATATCAAAAAATAAAGGAAATTCATGCTTAACAACTTAGAAAAGATAATACAATAAGAAAAATAATACTAATCGATGTGGACATTCCCATTACCGTTTAGATTATCAATTTTGCCATTAGGATTGGCAAAAAAATCAGAAACACCAAAGTGAATTATGTCAATTGGATAAACAACATCAAGAATCCACCAGTTCACGGTAATTTATGAAATTTGTTTCTATCTTCTTTCTTTTTCCTGATAAAGATTAACTAAATTTTTGGGCATACAACAGGTACGTAACCAATGTCCTTTCATGTCACATCTGTGACAAACTTCTTTATAATTCTTGAGTGATTTTGTATCTTTATTTGCACACTTCGGGTGTTAAAGTGTATTGTATGACCACGGTGTCGATTATCATTTCAACTACGACCATGTTTCTTACCACAACCATATGAGGTGTCATTCGCTTTAAAAAATGTTGTAGAATCAGTCGAGCGAGATTTATGATTTTTCATCAAAAGCTCGTTATACATTCAATTTTATCAAATTAAAATTAATTATATTTAAATTAAATTTCATTAATTTAACATTTACCAAATTTATTCAATTAACATTAATGTTGATCAAATAATATTTAAATTTGATATGTGAAGGGTGATGTGTGGAGAATAGTCGAATAATGTTATGGAGAACAAATATTAGTGGAGGAGTTAAAAATGAGTGGGACTTTAGCATTGATCTTATTGAATATAATTTTTATTGTAGAGAAAATGTCTTTAACTATAAAAATTATAAAAAAAATTGATTATGTAACCAAATGAGTAATAAAATGATAACTAATATATATATATATATATATATATTGGTATATATTTTTGGTGGTATTATAATACAGTTATCATATAACTCTCTAAAATGATAAAAATTTATTAAAATCAATTGAAAATGACTATAATTAACCTTATTTTTTAATAAAATGTTAAAATTAATTTTTTTTATTTTATTTTGTTTGTCTGCATTTTTGACCCTGTTATGTTGAATGATTTTATTTCGTGTAAAAAAATAATTTCATTAAAAATAAATATGTCATCCTACTTATCAAAAAAATAAAAAACTAAATTTTATAAAGTGTCTACCCAAGTCATTTTAATTCATTAACGTAACAAATAGTAATTTTAATATTTTTATAGAACAAATAGTCAAATCGTACACTATATCTACTGTCAAAAGTAAAAGTTAATGTTAGAGGGTGTCGATGATTCGACAGTATAACCCTGAAAGAGGTCTAATGAAATTTTAGAATCGAGAAAATTGTCATTAAATTTAGATTTAATTATAGGGGGTGTGGAAGAAATTTTTTTTTTTTTTTGTAATTTGTCTCAGCTTTGTTATCTTACCGACTAAAAGTAAGATATGGATCCCATGATGTGAAAGGCAAAAGGAAAAAATGAAGAAGAAAGAAGAAGCAAAGATAAGTTGTTAATAAGAACAGGCCGGTCGGTTTGGTAATTAGCCACCCCTTTCTGTTGGGAACAACGGTTTTAAGCTTTTAACAAACTTTTATCGCCAATCCACTGCCTGAAGTATATGAGTGCACCAATAGATTACCATTTTGGACACTGATGCACAGAGAGAAAATGACACAAGTGAGAAGAAGGGACGTTTGTTCCGACCAAGCACACGAGGATAAGGACGAAATCTGATATATTTACCGCGGGCGAACGAAGCACTTTATTTTTTCTATATAAACCCCATCTAGCCTTGTGATTTTTTGCTACCACTTGAGGTCTCATCCCCACCACTATTTTCTCAGAAAATTTTTGGGTTCGCATTCTGGGTTTCTTTGGTCCTTCGTTTCTTGGAAAGTTTCTTGACTTGGGTTTGTTTCGGTTTCATTCTTTGTGTTCACTGAAACAAAGATATTGAAGACATGGCTAATACTGTGCATTTTGTGTTTGGAATTTTTGGTGGGTTTTCATTGCAGTTTGAATTTCTCCGTAATTCTTTCATGGGTTTTTTTCCTTTCCTTTTTTTTTTTTTTTGATACCTGGTTACATTTTTTCATGTGGGTTTTTGTTTCTGTATTGCAATTCACAAGCCTTCTCTCTGTTTCTTTGTTATAGGAAATGCCACTGCTCTGTTTCTCTTCCTGGCACCAATGTAAGCCTCCTAAACAAATGCTCTCTCTCTCTCTCTCTCTCTCTCTCTCCCTCTTGTGTTTGGAAGTTGAAATTAAGTGCGTTCTTATTCAATTTTTCTTGATTAATGATAGAATTACATTCAAGAGGATCATTTCAAAGAGATCAACTGAACAGTTCTCTGGCATTCCGTACGTCATGACCTTGCTCAACTGCTTGCTTTCTGCTTGGTATGCCTCTTGGTCCTTCTTTTACTCTGCTACTCTTTGAACTGGTGGTAACTAGCTTACTATTTGTTTTACTTTTTTAACAACCTGAGTTTTCCTTCAAATTTTCTTCATTAAATTGTAATTTTTATTGAATTTATCTTCATGGAGCTATAGGGTATATTCTTTTTTTTTTTTTTCTATTTTGGCTGTAGATTAATTTAAGTTTGAGATTCTTGTACTATCATTAATTTATTGTCACTGCCTCGAAATTAAAATGAAATGAAATCAAAATTATAATGGGTTTTATCTCAATTTTGTGTCAACAATGCTGTTTTTGATTTGGGTTACCTTCAAATGTAATCGACCTAAACCCCCCATATTTTCTTAGTTGTAAATATACGGAGAGGTCAAGTTTTCAATTTTGTTGGCTTTTTATTTAGATCTTTATTTTTAATATCATATTCTTGAAATTTTGAGAATTTTAGGGGTTTTTTTTTTTTTTGGTTAAACTTCCAGCCAGCTTTAATCCACCCAAATTCTGATTTCTCATTCTCAACCCTAAGAGAGAAAAAAAATGAATTTCTAGTTTTCTTAATTTCATGCAACCAGTATTATATTGTGGCTTATTTTCTTCCAAGTTACTGATTTGTTCCTGATAAATTGAACTGAATAGGTATGGCCTGCCATTTGTGTCACCAAACAACTTGCTAGTGTCAACAATTAATGGCACTGGTGCAGTAATTGAGTCCATATATGTTGTGATCTTCCTCGTATTTGCACCCAAGAAGGAAAAGGGCAAGATCCTGGGGATCCTTACCTTTGTTCTCTCCGTTTTCGCCACCGTCGTCTTCATTTCCATCTTTGCTCTCCATGACAAAAGTAGGAAGCTTTTCTGTGGTCTTGCTGCCACAATCTTCTCCATTATCATGTATGGTTCACCTCTGTCAATCATGGTAAGCAATTAACAAGTTCCTTTCATACTGATGAGCCAACTTGTCTTCATATATTTGTTTAGTTTCAGTTGTGAATTTAAGGGCTCAACTTGGATTGAAGTGAATTGAGTTACTGTGTCCAAATTAATATGGTGTCAATCATTGAACAGAGTAGATATCCTGGTGGGAAAGGCATCCAGCTTTGGTTGCCGGTTGCAAGGGGAACCCCATTTTGTATCAATAAATACGCATGACACGGTTAGGGAGCCCAACACAAAATCAATATGGAATCAGCATGTCTAGGTTTAACTTGGTGTTCGGGTAGTGAACAAGTGGACCATTAGACCCATCAAATAAATAAGTAGACACGTATGCGACTAAGCACAACGTGGAACTGTTAAACATGACTCGTATACACAATACCAACCTGGCACTACACGAACTGGCTATGCACGATTACCTGTAGGTTAGAGCCATGTGAGAATTCCTGCAGTAAAAGTCCAAAAGACCATCACATGATACGCACAGTGATATTCAAACTTGCTGTTGTGTGGGGGAGAGAACCACTAATCAAGGAATTCAACCACAAGAAAGGAAGTATGTCAACTAATACAAATAGCATTCGTATATGTGCATTATTGAGATTTTATACTAATGAACATTATTCATTTGCAGAGGTTGGTGATCAAAACGAAGAGCGTGGAATTCATGCCATTTTTCTTGTCTCTGTTTGTGTTCTTGTGTGGCACATCTTGGTTTGTCTTTGGCCTGCTCGGAAAGGACCCTTTTATAGCAGTAAGTTGATTGATTTAGGACCTTCTGTACAACATAAGTTTTCATTTGGTTTTCCAATCAAACAGGCATGTTGAAGAATCCACATGGCCTTAAATTGTATGGGTAGAAGCTAGGCCATTGTACATGTTTATTTTTCGGGTCAATACAACTATTTATCTCTCGAAAGAAAAAGTCCATTGCCCGAACATATAACGAGTTTGTAATCACTTATTGATTGTTACTCTGGTCTTGCAGATCCCAAACGGATTTGGATGCGGATTAGGAGCAGTGCAGCTGATCTTGTACGCAATTTACCGCAACAACAAAGGCGAACAAAAGAAAGCTACCACTGATGGATCAATGGAGATGGGACTCAGCAATGGCAAGAATCAGAAAGAAGAACTTTCAAAAATGGATCAACATCAGAATAGCAACGTTTAGAGGCGTGTTCGAAATTTCTTTGAAATAATTGTAACCCTTGTTAAGGTCTTGTTAATACTGTATTTCTCTTTCACTAAACATTTGTACGACTTATGCCCATGCCCACGAATTTTTTTGGTACTTGGTCTCGACCCATCTGATTAAACAAAACGAACTCAGTTTTAATTGATCTTAGAATCGGGTAGGCTCAATTTAAGATTAAACCCAACTTGTACACACACCTATATGTGCGTGTGTGTGTGTGTATACTAATACTTGCACACGTGCATTACATGTGAACAACTTTGAAAATATATAATTGCATAGTAAAGTTGCGGCCTGATTTATCACCTTGTTAATGATACATCTCAAACCTCACCATTTTGCACGAGTGCTCAGATGTAATAAATATCCATCACCAAAATCATGTTATTATACAATTTTATACCCGTCCATTACCGCCCTTAATTTTCTATAGGCCTTTTTTAACAACAAGGAGATAAACTCACTTGCATATTTTGTGAAAGTAAAAAAAGCATGAGACCAACAATGTCATGCTTATATCCACAAATATTCAAATAATATAGTGATTATTTTGAGTATATATTTGATGCAAAAAAAAAAATGTAATACTCATAACGATAAATCAACATCTCTCTAAGATATGTTTAGTGGTAGGACCATTTCCGTCTTCACTCATGCTAGTGTAGGCCAAAAATAAACACCCAGTTACAATGGATTAATATGACAGAGCAAATACTTAAGCAAAATGAATATAAAATAAATACCCAACTGAAAGGAATAAAAAAATGAGTGGAAAAACATAATCATACAATTAAAAATTACTCAATAATATTCACTTCCCATTCTTGTTAACCTTAATTTAGAAGTATAGGAATGCTATTACATACGTACGTTACAGCCATTCTCTCTTGGGTTGACAACATATTTGTATAGAAAATTGTGACAGACATGAAGAAACCATAAAGAAGCCATGGAATGGCTAATCAAATCAAAGCCAAGCAATTTGGTTTGTTTATGTATTATATCTGTGTATAACATGAATTTGAATGGGTATGGAGGACATGAATGGACGACCGCAAAGATAGAGTTTTGTTTATTAGAATACAAAAGAACAAGAATTCATGATTAAAAACTGATGCGACAAACGAGAATAAGAAACACATTTATATTGATAGCTACATATTCATTATAGTTGTAAATGAATACTTACTCTTGTAGGGCAAGGTTTAGAAGTTAAATTAGAGAATAGGATATGATTGTCTTTATAGAACTTATGAGGACATAATAGAAATTCAAAATTGTTTCAGTTAGATGTCTTTTATTAATAGTATAAATAAAAATATATAGATATACAATTAAAATTACAAAGTTGAATTTTTAATTTATTAAAATATAATAACAATCAAAATTGATCTAACTTTCATTTACTTTGATCAAATAATATAAAAGTCAATTTGAAATTTCTTTTGGGTTTAAAAATATTATATTTTCTGCATAACTCTAATATTAAATAACTCAATCAACACACTTTATAATACTCTTTTCTCGCCCATACCTTTTTTTTTTTTTTATCTTTGTTCACTTTAATTTTAATATTATAAAATATTTTTAAACACATAATTATCGCTAGTCTCCTCTACGAGACAAGTCATTTTCCAACTTTAGAAGCGAGTAAAAAGGGTACCCTCGTTAGTTTGAGAAAGAGAATATCATTATGAAAACGTAGTGATTACGTTAGTAAGACAGACACTAATTGGAAACGGATTTCATGACGGCGACTCTTCGGATACATCAGATTTGGACACGATAAAGTAAGAAAATTTTCTTTCACGGCTTTTTTAGTTTATTATATATTAAACGATATTTTTTATATTATTAAAAATATCATTGACATCTTTTTAAATTTATATTTAAATATCACTGGCACTCCTATCGTTAAACTACTATTTCTAAAAATAATTTATTTAAAATAGAAGAGGTCTCATTAAAAATATGTTTATTTAGAAGGAGTGTGGATGAATTTTTTTTTTAAAATATATCATAAGTAATTTAGTAAAATTATATTCTACTTAAGGCATTTAATCTGACAAGGGGAGTCAATAAAAATTCAGAAAATAAAGAAAATATCTTTAAAAATATAATAAAATAGAAAGGGATTTTTCCAAAAAATAATTTTGCACTCTGAAAAATTTTCAGCCGACCTCATGGTTGACCTTTTGGGTCACATAAAAGACAGAAAGCTAAAGTAACAGCATTGAAAAAAGCCCGTGGGCCACCAAAACCAATTTTGAGCCGACTTGCATTCTCTTCGTTCTGATTAATAATTTAACAAAAGTATTTTACTGTTTTTTTTTTTTTGGAGGGAGGGGGGCAAATGGCAGTTTGCAGTCCAAAAGATTATAAAATTTTAATTTATATCTTCAAAAATTAATTAATTTTATTGAGAATTAAATTACACTCTCAATGAAATTAATTTGTAACAAAGTTACCCCAACCATTAAGTCTTGCGATTTCCGTCAACACGTGCATAGGGAAATGGCTTTCCGGTAAAAACTCACCAGATGAAAACCACTTATCTTGCACTAATGTGTCAAATAAGAAGGGAAATACCCACGAGTAGATTTCTGGCAGTCTTGTCTAGTTTGGCAACACTAAAACGTTAAGAATAATGCAACATAGATTTAAAAATTAAACTTAAAAAATAGATTTGATAATTATAATTATTATTTTTATTGTAGGTCCTAAAGATTTATTAGGACTCATTACCTATTTAATAGTTGTGATTATTAAATTTACTTTTTAAGTCTAATTTATAAGTCTACTAATTATTGCCTGTGCCTGAAAGAACAGAGTAATGAAAAATGGTAAAACAATAAACATATTTGTATTCATATCCAAAATCAAATCACAAATATAAAAGAGAGATAAATGAATTAAAACATTGGTTGTAGTGAAAGTTAGATGTGGTGGGTGGCAGTAATGGTGCAAAGAGACGGCGATGGTTGTGATAGGTGAAAATAACCGTGGTGGTGATGGTGACAATGACGACGACGACGATAGCGACGACAATGATAGTGGTGGTGGTGGGTTGGCGGCAGTGGCAATGGTGGCGGTGGCGCTGACAATGGTGATGGCAGCAGTGGTGGTAGTGATAGGGGTGGTGGTGGTGATGGTGATGGCAGCGGTGGTGGCGGTGGCGGTGGCGGTGGCGGTGGCGGTGGCGGCAGGGAACGACGATGGTGGCAGTGGTGGTAGAGGTACTGGTGGGGCAGATTCAAACACTATTTTTTTTTAAAGTACTTATGAGAAATAATTTTTATAAGTACTTTTAAAAAATCACCCCAAATATACCCTTAGGAGCCTATTTTTCCTATTAAATTTAAGGTGTTAATATTAGCTGTTAGATTACTTTAGAGTAAAATTTAAAGAGATCTGAACCGCAAAAAATAAAAATTATTTTATTTATCTTTTAAAATTTGAATTATAAATTAGTTTATTATATAAATGTAGCATTACTCAAAAGTTTATTGTGCCTTTATTTCTCCTTATTTGTAGCTTTGCTTAATACACTCTCTCTCTCTCACACACTCACACTCGCACTCGCACAAAGGAGGACTAGAAATGATTTAGCATCCACCATAACATACGTGCACCACGCAAATTTAGCATTAAACCAGATAGGTAAATTGTATTAGAGATCCCTAAAATATGGAGTTTGTCTCATTTTAATTTTTAATATTTTAATTGTATCATTTAATTCATAAAGTATTAAATATATTTTTATATGATCTCTTAAACATACAATATCCATATTACTTACGGTTTTTATCATAAATTAATCACGTGATATTTAAATATGGGTAAAAAATAATTTGAGCAACTTTTGACTAAACATATGCAGTATAGGTAGCTCTTGACCAAAATATAGATAACTTATGATCAAAACTGTGTAGTGTGGGTAGCGCTATGATCAAATTTGGTCAAATATTATCCAAATTATTTTTTTGTCCATATTTAAGTATTACATGACAAGTTTATAATCACAAATTGTTAGTAATCTAGACATTATTAACTTGAAGGACTACATAAAAATATATTCAATACTTCAACAACCAAATTAATATAATTAAAATATTGAGGATCAAAATTAGACATTTTTTACTTTAGGGGTCTCTTGGGTAATTAACCCAAACCCCATAATAAAGTGACCATAAAGCGACTTTACATTGAGAATGTTGAAAATTTTCCCATGAAGAAAAAAAAATGCAATGACTCACAATACAGCCCTAGAAAGTGATATTTCAAGGGAAATATTCCGCCAAATCATGATGAATTAAAATTAGTTTTCCTATTCACTTAAATACCTTACAACCGTTGATTAGGGTAGAAGGAAATTCCTTTGTTTCACTTGATGGAGGATCATAAGAATATCTCCATTGTAATTGATTTTTGTAGGGAACTCCTCGTCCAGTGTCTACAATTATTCCACCAAATCATGATGAATTAAAATTAGTTTTCCTATTCACTGAAATACTTTATAAGCATGCACTGATTAATTTGGGTAGGACTAATTTGGGTAGGACTAATTTTATTTTTTTAGGATATAATTTTTTATACTGACTATTCAACAAAATTTTTGTATTTTATGGTTCTAATTGCTTTGTTGGTGAATACTAATTTAGTTTTGTAATATTCTTTTTGAATTATGTATTCTTTGTTATTGCTAATATTATTTAAAAGAATAATTGAACTACATGAAATGATGCATCGAAACTCTTTATGAACGCTAGTCATGACCCGATAATATTAACACACATAAAAAAAAAACAGCTCTTAGGTGAACTTAATTTAATTTTCAAGTTTTCTTACAGGTGTGGGGATTTCCTGAATGATTCGCCCTAACCAAATCACGAACACAATGCTGAAGTGAGCAAAAGAAAAACAAGGTCCATCAACGTTCCTAGAACCAGTATCGTGTCCTTTTCCACATCAATTTGGAAGTATACTTGACAACAATAAAATTATTTCATTATCAAAAACTCATAAGTTAAATCTAAGATCTAAACGTGTGACGTCGTAGGGAGGCAAAATAGAAACATTGAAATAATCTTATCAAATGGTTAAAAATATAAAAGATTCTATTCACTGTAGATTCCATTTCTCTATGTATGTGTGTGTGTGTGTGTGAGAGAGAGAGAGAGAGAAAGAAAGAAAAAAAAATAATGAATTAGTGGAAGAGTCAAAGGATCCACTATAGCAAAAATGATGATATTAGTACCAAGATTATTGATGGCATCTGCAACCAAGGGCTAAA